ACATGTGTTAACTTTCCTGTCTGGGTTCCAGCCACCTGCCGGTTGTAAACAGGCGGTGTTGCCCATGAACCCTATTGAAGAACTTCCTGTAAACCTGCAGGTATTTCAACACCTTCCTTGTGGTTCAGCTACAGCAGCTGGCGCAGGTTTAACTGAACCTCCACCTTCCTGTTCTTCTTCTTAATCCTCACCCAAGGATATGTTTTTATTGATTTCTTTTTTGAGAGAGAGAAACATCGATCCTGTATGTGCCCAGACCTGGGATTGAACCTGCAACCTAGGTATGTGCCCTGACTGGAAGTCGAACCTGCAGTCTTTTGGTGTACGGGTCAATGCTTCAACCAACTGAGCCACCCAGCAGGACCTCCTACCCCATTCTTGATGGCTCTTAGGCTAATTCTGCTTCTCCACCTGGAGGGGGGCCCACCCCAAGCTTTCTCCCGGCCCTCTCCAAATGCACCTATACCACGCAAACGTTTCCCAGAACACATGAATAAGCAGGTTCTAGGTACCAACTACAGGCAGCAGGCCACAGGGAAAGGTGGGAGTTTGCCCCTCGCCCCGTTTTGTTGAGCTATAACTGGCCATTTACTCAAGTCAGGACATTGAGATTCTCTTGTCATCCATCAAGTATCGACTAGGAGGAGCCCGTAGCGGAAGACACAGGAGTCAGGCAGGTCTCAAGACCAAAGGGCAGGTTCTATGGCAGCTGCACTGCTTACCTTCTGTGCTCCAAACCAGGACCCCTTTACGGCAGTGGGGTGCTCACATCACAGCCTACCCTTTAATTATTTTGTTTTTCTTGTATTGATGTTAGAGAGAGAGGAAGGGAGCGGGAGAGAGATAGAAACATCGATGAGAGAGTACATCAACTGGCTGCCTCCTGCATGCCCCCACTGGGGATCGGGCCTAAAACATGGGCATGTGCCCTGACCGGGAATCAAACTGGCAGCCTCTTGGTGCGTGGGTCGACGCTCAACCACTGAGCCACACCGGTCGGGCACGTCACAACCTACTCTTGAAGAGTGGGCTTCAAAACCCCAAACACTAACCCGAAAGAATACATGCACCCCTATGTCCACTGCAGCATTATTCACAATAGCCAAGATCTGCAAGCAACCCAAGTGCCCACCAGTAGATGAGTGGATGAAACTGCTGTAGCCCTGGCCGGTTTGGCTCAGCGGTCGGAGCGTTGGCCTGTGGACCAGAGTCCTGGGTTCAGTTCCCACTAAGGGCATGTTCCTTGGTTGCAGTTTGTCCCCGGCTCCGTTTGGGGTCGTGTGGGTGGCAACCACTCGATGTGTCTCTTTCAAATCAATGTTCCCCTCTCTCTCCCTCCTGCTCTATCTGAAGAGAAATGCAAAAAATGTCCTCCAGTGAGGATAAAAAAAAAAAACAGAAAACTGCTGTATTACATTTATGCAAGGGAATGTTACTCAGCCACAAAAGAAAAAAGGAAATCTTACCTTTGGACTAGTGTGGATGGACTTAGAGACCATTATGCTAAATGAAATAAGCCAGAGAAATGTAAGTACCATATGATACTCTTATGTAAAATAAGACGCAGAGAGAGCAGGCTGACGGCTGTGAGGAGGGGACTAGAGGGGGGTGGGGGAGGACTGAGCCAAAAAGTAAAAAGGAGAAAAGACTCTTGGACAGGGACAAGTGTTGTGATTGCCTGGGGGTGGGGGGTGGGAGGGGGGGATAAATGGTGATGGAGAGACTTGACCTGGGGTGGCGAACACCCAATCCAGGGTGCAGGTGTGTTGTAGAATTGTATACCTGAAACCTGTATGATTTTGTTAACCAGTGTCACCCCAATACATTCAGTAAAAAATAACAATAAAAGCAGATGGCTTTTGTTTATCAAAGAAAGCAAATGGGCTTCAGATTAGGGCTGACAACGTAGACACACACACCGCACACTTACGGAAACCATCACAATCGTGTAGCAATCTCTCAAGGTCAGACTTACCCAAGTGCAAACGTGACGCCAGAGATGAGCAACATTCTTGAACAAAACAGTTCGAGGGAACAGGAGTACTGTCCAGCAATAGCTAATTAAACGTGTTTGTATCATGGCAGATATTTACAAAGGATTAGGCAGAAACAGCCTTCTTTTCTTTTTATCCTCACCCAAGGACATCTGTCCATTTATCTTCAGATAGAGCGGGAGGGAGAGAGAAACATCGACATAAGAGAGACACATCGAGTGGTTGCCACCCACAAGACCCCAACAAACTGCAACCGAGGTACGTGCCCTTAGTGGGAACTGAACCGGGACTCTCTGGTCTGCTGGGCCGACCGACCAGGGCAGGCAGAAACAGCCTTTACATCGGAAAGATGCCTTAAAATATGATGGAGGGGGGTAAAGATATATATATACTTTTAAAAAATTCCTCACCCAAGGATTTTTCCCATTTTTGTTCAGATAGAGTGGGAGGGAGGGAGAAGAGAGAAAGAGAGGGCTATGCTTTTATTAAGTAAAATAATTGGAATCTAGAAAGACATAAAACTTAACTGTGGGTTGGTATCAAGAGGGAGAAAAGGTGTAAACTGTGGACTCGGAACCAGAGCATATTAGCTTTAAGCAGGACTTTTCATCCCCGTGATCTGAAGGATTGGCTGTCTTGCTGAGTCAGGAGAGTGGCTGCTTCACCCCAATTTTAGAGCTGAGGCCAAAGGGCTCACAGGCCTTGGGGGGTGTGGGGGGGGGCAGGACAGAAACATCCACTTGCAAAGGAAGTTGACAATGCAGAACTCCTCAGGTCAAAGGTCATCAGGCTACTCCCAGCCCTTTCCTGGATGTCAAGAGAATCCACTCCAGAATCAATGTGGGGTCCACATCCACCAAGGTTCTCCTGGGCCTCATGCTGGTTCTTGCCATGGGGCTCGCAAAGACAAACAGAGCCAAAGGGGGCCAAGACCAGTAATGGCTTTCCCAGTAGGTCGTTGACCTGTCTTGCCGTGTCACCCCATCCTGTGAGCACTTTTTCCGCTACCCTAAGTATGTCCCCTTGGAATTACGTGCCACCTCCTATCTGACTTTTAGCCCATTCCCTTCTAAGTAGCCTGTAAGGATGAGATGGTTAAAAATATTGTGTCTCTGCCCGTGACGTGTACCCAGTTGGGATGGGCTGAGATGTGGGGTAGTCTAGGGCGTGAAGCCCTCTATGGTCATGAGTGAACACAAGCAAAAGTTCTCCAGCGAGATCTCGCTAATAAAATGGCTATGCCTTGAAAGGAAAGCTACCAACCAGCAAATAGTTGGTTATGTGCTTGAGAATGGCCAAGCATGGATGTAACCGGAGGGTCAGGAGGCACCTGGAAATAATGGTCGAGTAAGGATCCTCAGGTTTAGAGCAGAAACTACCAGAAAAACGTAGACACACCTGGTGGGGGGAAAAATATCCAAAGTTTATTCTCCAACAGTCGGCATCAGCAGGTAAAACTACAGGGTTTTCTCGGTAGATCATACATTCACAAGGCGTAACAGCGAGAAAGCCTCGGGTGTGTCCTCTGTAACAATATCCACTTCACAGTGTAAACAGGTGCTAGTATTGTGTTCACTTACAATTCCAGAAGGAAAGGCACAACATGGCAAAAAAATAATAATTAATTTTTTTTTGGATCCTAACGTCAGGTGCAATAACTCAGACGGACTTTTGATATAAGTCTTGATCTACATTTCCACATCGAGGGGGAAAGACTCCTCCGCCCGGAAATCAGGGTCTTTCCTCCTTCTTCCTTGTTAAGCCATTAGAGCAACGTTTCCTTGTTTGCTTCATATTACATACACAAAAAAGGAATTTAAAAAAAAAAAAAAATCACAAAAATATCTGGAACTTCCAGCTGCTCCCACCAATACATCAACTCTTAGGTTTAAGACAGGGACTAGGAACACTTTTAGCGGTCATAAAATAGAAAAAAAGAGACTAAGGCTACAAAAATAAAAATAAATGAGGTAGATAAATTAAAGCTCTCATACCCAGGACTCGCCTGTTCCAACTTTGTAGCCTTCATGCAATACTTGGGGGGGAGAGGGGGGAAGGGGGCGGGGGCTATCTTCATAATTACTTGGCATAAGTCACATCAAGGAAATTTTAATAAAAATTAGTCTGTGAACCTCATATAAGAAACATGCCCTTCCATGAGTTTGTTCAAGAATGGGAAACCCATTTCTTCTAGAGAGTAGGCACTGGCGAACTAAGTTAAGTCACCTGAGGTCCCCTGCTCAGGTGCCCACCTGTCCTGGGAGGCAGGGAATCCATTGGCACTCTTAGAGGTTCCAACTGAACTGTATTTCAATAAAGCAGCAACATACACTTCTGACTCCCGAAGGACTGAAACCAGTCCTTCCGAGGACATCCTACTAAGGTTCCAAGGCTGAAGGAATTTTGTCATTCTACAACCTTAGTAAAAAGAAAAATACATTCAAAAAAAAAAAAAAAATAACAACAAACAAAAAGATGGGTGCAGGGCTGGGGGGGGCATACGAAACAGGTCCCCAAAGACGACAGACCTTGTCCACTTACCCGCATACAGTCACCACAGAAGTATATAGCACACCCCCCCGTTAGGCTAAGCAGTTGTCTCTCCATCAGGGTTCAGTAAGTTCCAACGCAAAAAGCTGAATCTTTGGAAATAGTCACTCCAGCTCCTACAAAGTTTTCACGTATAGTTTGTCTCAAGTAACAAAGCTACTTTGCAAGACCCGCTTCTTTCCAAAATTACAAAAAAAAAACAAAAAAAAACAGTCTATTTGTTTTAGTATGATTTGTGTTTTTTTGCAAAGCAGCATAGCAACATTGTGATTGTAGGACTTGCCTGAGGTTGTGGTCACAACTGTAAACATCATTTGCACATCAGTAAAGAAAAAAAAAAAAACAAACAGGAGATGGGTCCTTTAAAAAAAAAAAAAAAAACAACCAACAACAAAAAAGGTCCAGTTGGAGAGCAGTCACTGGGCACTTCTTTGAATGAACGGGCTGGCCTGCGGTTTAGCTGACCGCAATCTTGTTTTCTTCCAGGAAGTGGGGGAACTGGGGTTTGGGGACGCTGTCCGCAGCACCCGGCTTTTCCACATCGGCACCCAGAGCCGACTGAGAGCCATCCAGCTTGGAGGCCGTGGCGTTACTGACGACGGAGCTGGCCCCAAGGGACACAGGGAGAGTAGGGATGCCCCCACTCTGGATCACTGAGATCTCGTTGGTCTTCATGGCCAGACCGCCGTTGAGCATGGTGGTGTACTGGTTCCATACCACCGGGTCCACACTCACCGAAGGGGCTATGGTTTCCTTGGGAAACACCTCTGGGACCCTCTTTGCATCTGCTCCCAGAAGAGCCATGGTGTTCTCGATGGCTAGCTTCCTCCCGCGGCGCGTGGAGCTGTTGTTGGTGCCGTGGGTCATGTAGTGGACCTATGGGGAGACGGACAGCAAGGTTCCCCCCAAACAGAGATGTGAGTACATGCTGGCCAGCCAGTCAGCCGCAGGGTTTGGTTCCCCCCAACAGTATTAACATCATGTATATTTAAGAATTAGGTCCGGCCTGTGTGGCTCAGTGACTGAGCATCAACCCCTGCACGGAGAGGTCGCCAGTTCGATAGATTCCCAGTGAGGGCACGTGCCCAGGTTGTGGGCCTGATCCCCAGTGGCAGGCATGCAGGGACAGCCAACTGATGTTCTCTCTCGTCGATGTTTCTATCTCTCTCCCTCTCCCTTCCTCTCTCTCTAAAATCAATAAAGGAAAAAAGAATTATAAAAAAAAAAAGAATTAGATTTCGCCCTGGCTGGTTTGGTTCAGCGGTCAGTGTCAGCCCTCATCGCCAAGAGTCACAGGTTCGATTCTAGTCCCCGTCTCTTCCTCCCTCCCTCCAACTCTGTCTGAATCATGGAATAATATCCTCGGTGAGAATTTTTTTAAAATTAGATTTCATATGTAAAATATCAGACGACAGTACTATGTATCGTTTCTCCAGCTTGGCCTCCTTTGTGTAATTCCCTTCCTGTTCTGGATTTGAGTCTACAAACCCCCTTTAGCTTCTTCCCTTTTTTTATTAATTAATTTTTTAATTTATCCTCACCTGAGGACATTCTTGCATTTATCTTCAGATAGAGCAGGAGAGAGGAAGGGAGAGAGAAACATCTATGTGAGAGAGACACATCGTCTGGTGCCCACAGAACCCCAACAGGGTCTGGGGACGAACCGCAACCGAGGTCCGTGCCCTTAGTGGGAACCGAACCCGGGACCCTCTGGTGCACGGGCCAAAGCTCTAACCGCTGAGCCAAACCGGCCAGGGCCCCTTTAGCTTCTTTAAGAACTGAGGTACCAGGTTCTCTCGGGCATTTTCACTTCACCTTCACTGCCGTCCTCAGAAGCTAGTGACCTCATCGGGCTCAGAAGTGAGAAGCTGTTCCGGCACGGCAGGTATAATTGTAAGCACTTTATTGTGTAACTCATTCCATCTCCAGGACAACCCCGAAGCCACCATTGCCGGGATCCCCACGTCCGGGAAGTTGAGGCAGAAAGGAACACAAGCCTCGGGCCACTGGGGCCAGGAGAGCAGCCCCGACCCGCCTGGCGGCCGGCTGGGCCTGGGAACAAGTGTGAGCTGTGTCTCTGGGAGTCAGCGTCAGAGACGAAGTTACTTCATGTCCCTCCTCTGGCAGTTTGCCCACAGGACTCAAAAGAACAGACTGTTTTGTAATAATAAGTATTTTCGATTTTCAAAATGACATAGTATCGTGTTCCAGGTCAGCTTGATGGTGGAAGTTCCCACCTTTACTCTGACGACAACGAATTCAGGGAGTGTCGCACTCACTGGAGAGGGAGAGCAGGAGAAACAGCCTGGTGTGAACTGGAGGCCAGAGGAGCACTCGGGCCGATCCCTCCGTGAGCTCAGCTGACCACTTTCAACCCCCCCGGGAGGGCCTCCCCTCCAATTCCCGTGTGAAATCACAGGGGAACTGACTTACCACACACAAAGTAGGCCATTCTCTGGAAGAACCCAGCTGCTCTATTTTTTAAAAATACGTTTTTATTGATGTTAGAGGGAGAGAGAAAAGCATTGATTAGAGAGAATCATCCACTGGCCGCCTCCTGCATGTCCCCTGCTGCAGATCAAGCCCACAGCCTGGGCATGGGCACTGCCCAGGAATTGAACTGGTGACCTCTTGGTGCAAGAGATGATGCCCAACCAACTGAGCCACATGGGCCGGGCTGGGCCCAGCCGCTCTATTTTTAAACACACTGCTGATAATGCAGAGGGGTACACTGCACTGGTACTGTTGTTACACGTGTATGTTTAACTGACGATGTTCAACCTAGCAGGTCGGAAAATAAGAGCAACATACAGCACAGGGTGGCCATCGGGTCTGGGAAGCATATGAAACCCACACGTGATTGGTCAGTGTTATGTTACTACACATGACAAATGTCATCAATGTTTGCAGACTTGATTTCACACATCTACTAAATGACTGTTGAAAGGCATCACGATCTGCCGGCCGGTGTGGCTCAGTGGCTGAGCCTCGACCCAACCAAGAGGTCACCGGTTCGATTCCCGGTCCGGGCACAAGCCCAGAATGTGGGCCTGATCCCCAGTGGGGGACACGTAGGAGGCAGCCAATTGATGTTCTCTCATCGATGTTTCTATCTCTTCCCCCCTTCCTCTCTCGAAAATCAATAAAGAAGGAACAAACAGGCACCCGACCTGCCCAGGATCGGAAGGACAATCACCCACGCTGAACTGAAAACTGAAACAGGAGGAGAAAGCAGCCGGAGCGCCCCGCTCCTAGACGGCACCCCTTAGAAAACGCACCCCGTATAAAACGCACCCGGTATAAAACGCACCCCGTATAAAACGCACCCCTTAGAAAACGCGCCACTATTTTATGTGCCTCTGAGATTAGAGGAAAAAATTTACCTATTATTTCAGACACTGACAGTAAGGCGCATCCAATCTCAGAGATGTCGTGATATGAGAAATCGTACCTCTTTTTTTTTATTTATTTATATCCTCACTCGAGGACATTTTTGCATTTATTTTCAGATAGAGCAGGAGGGAGAGAGAGAGACACATCGATGTGAGAGAGACACATCGAGGGGCTGCCACCCACAGGACCCCAACTGGGGCCGGGGACAAACCGCAACGAAGGTACGTGCCCTCAGCGGGAACGGAACCCAGGACTCTCTGGTCCGCAGGCCGACGCTCTCACCGCTGGGTCAAACCGGCCAGGGCGAAAATGTACCTCTTTTTTAAAGAATATTTATTTCAAGAGCCAGTTTTGCGCCCTGGCCGGTTTGGCCAATGGTTAGAGCACTGCCTGACCTGCGGACCACAGACCCACAAGTTTGATCCCCAGCCCAGGTTGAGGTCTTGCGGGAGGCAGCCCATTGATGTGTTTCTCTCACATCGAGGTTTCTCTCTCTCCCCCTCTCCCTCCCACTCTATCTGAAAATCAATGGAAAAATATCCCCGGGAGAGGATTATTTTAAAAAAAGAGCCAGTTTGGAGACAGAACATCCCATTCGCTCTCAGTAGAAGGTCCCTGTGGATGGAGAACACCTGGCTCCCATCCTTGCCGAAGCGCTAAGAAACTCACCTTCAGGTTGCCCTTGGTGGTGAAGGCCCGAGTACATATGTTACAGGCGAAGGGCTTCTCCCCGGTGTGAGTCCGCTCGTGAATCTGAAGGGCGCTGGCCGACGAGAAGTTCTTCCCGCACCGCGTGCACGTGTGCTGCTTGCCGTGGCGGCGGGGCTGGGCCAACAAGGGCGCCATGCCCGGGGTCATGGCCGCGGGGCCGAACGCACCGGGGACCTCCACTTTGACGTAGGTTGGCTGGGCTCGGACAAATGCTGACGGCAGGCTGCTGCGACCTGGTGTGCAGAGAAAACAAGGCCCAAACCCGATCATCTCACACTCGTTCACTCTTCAGACCGTCAGAGAGTTTTGAAAGCGACTGCCCCTGCCCGACCGCCCAGAAGTGGCTTTCGGGAAATTTACACCCCGGAGGCAGCTTCCTTTGACCTCTTTCCTGGCGCAGGGAATAATCGTGACTCCAACACTCAGGGAAACTTGCCACTTGGGTGTGAAGGGGACGGCTGCACAGACTCATGCATCCAAGTTCAAATGCCTACATAAAGAGTTCCCTTTAGCATGAGCCCAGGTGCCCATCCTCGGACTCTATGATGCAGCTGTTCCCCCATCTCGCCCTTCATCAATGGGCACCCCCACCATTTATATGTGCGCTTCAAATGGGTTCGATTCTTTTTGACCCGTGAGAGTTCTTCATTTGTGACCCTCACATTAGGGAGTGGGACCTCAGAATGGAGAAATGATGGTGTATCTCTGTGGGCAAAACACAGCGCCCACTTCCTCAAAATTCTTCTACTCTCGAGATTACCCTATGTCCCCACGGGGCTCAAACACAAAAATATGAAAACAAACAAAAACGGTATGCTGTCCAACGTGCATTAATCGTCCTAAATCAAAGCATGTCCTTACTGGGAGAGAGGAAGCTACGGCCCCTCCACCCAGAGGCACAGAACGGCTACCCGCCCTACGGAGGAGCTGCTCCACACTTATCACACACTCCGCTCGTCAGGTTCAACCCGGGCTCCTTTCGGATGACCTTGTGCCCAAAACGGACGTAAGTTAAATCCAAAGCACTATCACCTTCCGTCTCAGGGTGGCTGCTCTCCGAGCTGTCCGCTCTGCCGCCAGCGTCAGGGGACTTGGACTTGCTGCTCTCTGCCTGGCTATTGGCCGGGGAGAGGGCCTGAAGGGACGTGGTCTCCAGCACATCTGGACTTCGACTCTGATACTCCTGGTCACCCATCACCGAGGACGAGTCGTTGGTCAAGCCGTCGCTCTCCACAGAACCGTTCTCTCTGCTGTTCTGCCGCTGAAGGACCACAGGAGCGGAACCCACCTTCCCCGTGGCGAACCCTGGCGTGGGTGATGCCGAGTGGATGCTGGAGAGAGGCACGGGGACCTTTGAGCAGCTGCTGGGGACATCCTGGGAGCCCACCTCATCGACATCAATGCTTTCGACGACGTCGTCATGACAGGTGGCCCCCGAGCTGCCGTTCTCTGTGACCATCACCAGCTCGGGACACGTGAAGTCGCAGGGACTCTCCGGCAGCGGTGTGTTGGGAATCTGACCGCCCATGTGCATCCGGATGTGCCGCTGCAACATGACCGCGTTGGTGAACTTCTTCTGGCAGATGGGGCACGAATGCTGCGTCTTTATGGACGTGCTGGTTTGGTGAACCCCGAAGTGTGCCTTCAGGTTGCCTTTGGTGGAGAAGGCTCGGTCACAGATCTTACACCGGAACGGCCTCTCCCCGGTGTGGGTGCGGTAATGCATTTTGAGGGAGCTTTGGCAGCTTAAGACACGGTGGCAAATGTGACATTCATTGGGGTCGCTGGTGACCTTGTCAATGTTCTCCACCAGCTGCTGCAACTTCAGGGTCTCCGACCCTGGCTCGGGTGTCCCTCTCCCTTGGAAGACACCAACCCTTGGGGGATTATGGTTGGGCCCCACCCCAGAGAGCAGGGGTCCGTCCTCACTTTCTGGAGAAGGCCCAGGCTGCAGGTCGTTGGCCAGTGGGCCACCCATTAGGTCCTTGGGGTTAGTCCCCGAAGAGAGATTCTGAGGTAGCCCTGCACTGGGGGTCCCTGTGACCAGGACGGGTTTGCTGTCTAAAGAGAGACTGGATTCATCTACGGGGACAGGTACAGGGAGCGCGTAGGGGACGCTGCCTGCGGCCATTCTGTCGTGGAGCTCGGCAAACAGCTGGGGGTTTGCTTTCACCTGGGGGTGTCGATGGAAGTGCACCTTGAGGTTGCCCTTGGTGGTGAACCGGTGGCCACAGACCGAGCACACGAAGGGTCTCTCTCCAGTGTGGGAACGGAGGTGGATCTGCAAGGAGCTATCAGTCCCAAAAACCTTGCTGCAGTACTTACACTTGTGCCGGTAGAGGGCGGCCTCGTCTTTGGGTTTGACATCCACCGGGGACACGTTGGGTGGCTTCCCCTTCCCTTTCTTGGACGGGTCTAACGCCACCGTGGAGAAAGGGCTCTGGAAGAGCACAGAGCCCGGGGCCTGAGGTATCAAACCCGGGAGGCGGTTCGGGAGCACCCTCGTCCCGTCCGGCCTCAGGGCGAAGGACACCAGCCCCGGGGACACAGAGCTGGTGGTGGAAGGGATGTTTGCATGAGGTAGCTTGGCTTGTTTCAAGGTGTCCAGGGACAGACCTTGGCTTCCAGCTTTCTGGCTGAGCAAAGCCACGGCTGCAGAAACCTGCTGGGACATGTGGCTGCCTAAGGTCTTCAGGGTGTCGGCTCCCGCCACGCCGGAGTGGAGGGCGTGGGCAGCCCACATGTTCACCTGCACGCGGATCTGCTCGGTGAGCTGGATCTGCTGCAGCTGCTGCTGCTGCAGACACAGGATCTGCTCCAAGACCCACGGGATGCTGTTGGCACCGGGCAGGGGGGCGGGCAGCGCGTCCGCGCTCCGCTGATTGACCGCCACCTTGGTGCCCCGTAGTGCTTGTAGAGTGACGTTAGTGTTGGCCACTTTGCCTTTGGGTAAATAGCTTAAGTCCTGGGGTGTGGGTGGCAGGGCGGTTTCTGTCTTTAGGAACAGGACAGACTCCGCCCCTGGCTTCTCCTTCATGTCCCCTGAGCTGCCGCCATCCTCCCTGTGACTGTCCTTACAGCTGGGACTGCGTGGCTGGTGGCTCAGCACAGCCCCGGAGAAGTCTTCGGAAGGCACCGGCCCCTCGCTGTCGTTCATGATGAGGACAGGTGGATGTTTAGTGCAATTTTTCTTATGTTCTAAGAACTCAGAGACGCTGAAGAACTCTCCACAGCATTTCTCACAGATGTGAGTCTCCTCCTGACGAGGCCTCTTGGCTGCGGCCGGGTCCTCATTCATGTCATCGCCGGCTGCCGGGTGGTTCACTGAAGTACCTGTGACAAGAGAGTAAGAGCTAAGAATTCATCCAAGGAAGGATGAGGGACAACTTCTTGGGAAGTACCACGACCAGACAACACACAGTGCAACTGTCTCCGTGACAGGTGGGCAGCCGATATAAGGCTGTGTAAGGGTCCTGGCCGGTGTGGCTCAAGGGTTGGGTACCGTCCCAGGGACCAAGAGGTCGCTGGTTCCATTCCCAGGCAGGGCACATGCTGGGTTGCAGGCTCGATCCACTGAGGGGTGTGCGGAGAAGCCTACTGCTGTTTCTCTCTCTCCCTCTTCCTTCCTCTCTCTGAAAATCAATAAAAGTATTTGTCTATTGTTATTTACTGATTTTTTTTTTTAAGAGCATCGATTTGTTGTTCCACTCATCTCTGCATTCGTCAGTTGAGTCTTGGATGTGCCCTGAGCCTGGATCGAACCTGCAACCTTGGTGTTATCAGGATGACACTCCAACCAAATGAGCTACCTGCCCAGGGCCCAAACATGTCTAAGCACTAACCCCAGCACCTGCACATTTGGCCTTATCTGGAAGAGGAACTTTGCAAATGTCATTGGCATGGGTCCAACCCCAATGCCTAGCGTCCTTAAAAAGGAAAGGGAGGTTGGAGACAGGGGAAAAGGCCACGCGAGGGAGGTATGTGGCCATAAACCAAGGCTGCTGGCGAGCAGAAGAAAGGCGGGAGGTAGGAACCAACGGAGAGCAGGAAGAGGCAAGGGACAGATTCTCCCAGAACCTGCAGGAAGAGCCAGACCTGCCGATACCTGGGCTTCGTACTTCTCACCTCCAGAGCTGAGAGAGAATACATTTCTTTTGTTTTAAGCTTCCTGGTTTGTGGGAGTAGCTTCCGGCAGTCCTGGGAAACTCCTACAATTTATTATAAATAATCCCCCCCGAGACTGGCACCCCCACTCAAAGCAGGCTTCCAAAGGCAAATGAATTCCACGCAGTCAATGACAATGGTATTGGAAATGTGAACCCTGACAAAAAGACACTAACAAGGGCTCCTGGTGGCTAATCGGGCTCAAATTTTTCAGACCAGAGCCTAGCAGCCATCTCTGCACAGGGGCCTCTCCCACGCAATGCTTTTCAGAGGAGCCAGAGCTGGACCACCTGCCTCTGTACTGAACTGCATGCCCTCCTGGAATCCTACCGCCGCCAATAGGACTGAAGCTTTCCCTATCCAATCAGAGCCGCGCAGCTCCTGATCGGCTCTACTCTGACCAATCAGGACAGTGCCTTTTGCACCAATCGAACGGCAAGGATTTGGAGTCCTTGCGTACATGCACCAAGGGCGGAGACTTCTGTCCAGATAAGCCAGCATCCTTCCGAGCCAGAGGCCGACCCAGCACTCGCCTGTCAGTAACAGGCTCCATTCGGAGGGTCAGTCCGCAGAATTTGTTACACGTGTATCATCAGGCCTGGCCGGGTAGCTCGGTTGGTCAGAGCCTTGCCCGATTAGCCAAGCTTACGGGTTCAATCGCACGTCAGGGCGCCTACAAGAACCAATGAATACATAAATAAGCGGAATGACAAATAGGTGTGTGCGTGTGTCTCTCGCTCTCAAAAAAGGGCAAAAGAAAAATCATGCATAATCACGACAACCCTGTAAGGCGGACAGATGTCTGGGTTAAGTGATTCATTTAACAAATGCTTGAGCACCTACTATGTGGGATCTGGGAAAAGTATAGATGCTATAGATGTCAGTGAACATTAGTTTCTCCATCTCTTCTGTTTCTTTCTTTTTTTAATCCTCACCTGAGGATATTTTTCTACTTATTTTCAGATAGAGTGGGAAGGAGGGAGAGAGGGAGAGAGAAACATCGATGCAAGAGAGACACATCCACCAGTCAGTTCCTGCCCGACCCCGACCAGGGCTGGGGACCAACTGTAACTGAGGTACATGCCCTTGACCGGAATCGAACCTGCAACTCTTTGGCCCACAGGGCGACACTCCAACCACTGAGCCAAACCGGCCAGAGCCCCACCTCTTGTATTTCTTTCTTTCTTTTTTTTTACTGTTATTGATTTTAGAGAGGAAAGGAGACAGAAACATCTGATAGGCTGCCTCCCATCCACACCCTGACCGGGAATCGAACCCACAACCTTTCTGGTGCACAGGAGGATGTTCCAACCAACTGGGCCACCCAGCCATGGCTCTTTTTTTTTTTCTTTAAATTGTTTTCCCCTCACCTCTTTTATTTCTAATAGCAAGACAACTAGGGCTGCTGACAACTATAAGACAACAGTCACTGACGACAATATTTCTGCCCTGGCTGGTTTGGCTCAGGGGTTGGAGCATCGACCTGAAGACCAGAGTCCCAGGTTCGGTTCCCGCTAGAGGAACGTACCAAAAAAACAATACTTCTCACCTGCGACTACGGGGAAGGCTGGGGTTGGAGGTCCGTGGTGACAAGATAAGCCTCCAGTATTCTGACTAGGCATCTGTGGGTGAGCCCCCCATACACGCTACATATACTAAAACTCAGACAGGCAGCACCCAGGCCCTCTATTTCAACTCTTCTTTCGTTCTTACACTTCCTATCATGTTTCTTCTGTTAAGAGTGAACCTATCTTTCCTCTCATAGAAACCCCAGGGCAGAATGTATACCTGAGGTTGTCTGGGGAGGATGGGGTACCAAGAACACAGGTTACCACCTTTCTGGGACACCCAGAGGTGACTTCAAAGTCAGGACACCATGCAGCCCTGAACTTCCAAGTGGAGCTCAACAGGAGGTACCTACTACCTTCCTTCCGGCCCCAATATTGCTCCACAACTGTAGTTATTTCAAGAATCAAGTTAAAAATAGTTGTCAATTCCCAGAACACTTAGAGATAGCATCTATGGGAAGACTTCCCCAAGACTTGAAATGCAGTGCTGGGGGGTGTTAAATAGCACAAATCTTTCTGGAAAAGCAATTCTGGTAATCATAAGCCAAGAACTTTAAAAACTTTTGCCCTGCCCATGTGGCTCAGTGGACTGAGCATTGTCCCATGGACTGAGAGATCCTGGTTCAAGTCCCGGTCAGGGCACATGCCCAGGTTGGGGGCTCAATCCCCAGTAGGGGGCATGTAGGAGGCAGCCAACGGATGTATCTCATGCACATGGGTGTTCCTCTCCCTTCCTCTCTAAAAAAATAAATCATGCCCTGGCCGGTTTGGCTCAGGAGTTAGAGCATTGGCCTGCGGTACAGAGAGACCCGGGTTCGGTTCTCGCTTAGGGCATGTACCTCGGTTGCAGTTTGTCCCGGCCCTGGTTGGGTCATGCGGGTGGCAGCCACTTGATGTGTCCCTTTTGCATCGATGTTTCTCTCTCTCCCTCCCTCCTACTCTATCTGAACAAAAAAATGTCCTCAGGTGAAAAAAAAAAAATCAATAAAAACAGTAAAAAATAAAGTGGTGAAACTTTTTTAAAAGTCGGGAAGGAAATATCCACTATTGGCAGGTGCATGTAAATAGATACAGCTTTTGCCCTGGCCGGTTTGGCTCAGCGATTAGAGCATTGGCCTGCAGACCGGAGAGTCCCGGGTTCAGTTCCCACTAAGGGTACGTGCCTCGTTTGTGGTTTGTTCCTGGCCCCGGTTGGGGTTGTGTGGATGGCGGCCACTCCATGTGTCCCTTTCACATCGATGTTTCTCTCTCTTCCTCCCTCTCTCCCTCCCATTCTATCTGAGGATAAATGAAATATCCTCGGGTGAGGATAAACAAAAACAAAAACAAAAGATATTAACATGTAAAGGGAAACTTCTGAAATATGAACAACTACTGCGTTTGGTTTCTAGGTCTTACAGCGTGGGACAGGTGGTTGCTTCTGTACTATGGGTTCTTATATATATATTTATTTTAGAAAGATAGGAGAGAGAGAAACATCAGTGAGAACATCAATTGACTGCCTCCTGCACGCCCCCTAGTGGTGAAGGGAGGGGGTAGAGCCCACAACAGGGGCATATACCCTGACCAAGAATGAACTGGTGACCTCTCAGCACGTGGAAAGAAGCTCAGTCCATTGAGCCACATCAGCTGGGCTCTTGCCCCCACCCCCCCATTGAGGATATAGGTTTTTCATTGATTCTAGAGAGGAAGGGCAAGAGAGAGAAAGAAACATCCATGTTAGCAAGAAACATCAACCAGTTGCCTAATGAACATGCTCCAACCAGAAATCGAACCAGTGACTCTTCAGGTTCACAGGATGGTGCACTAACCACTGAACCACACCTGCCAGCCCTCTGGTTTCTTTTTCAATTAGCATGTTTACACCCTTTGTCTTAACCATTCTACTTCTAAAAATCTCCAGGAAAGCCCACCCAAAAATGCAAACTCACCTCCTCCTAACAATTATATACTTCAGACCTCAACTCATTTATCTTTGCAGCCACATAATCAAACAAGTCTTTGCTCCCAATTTGCAGATGTGGAAACTGAGATTCAGAGCAATTCAGTGGCTCAGTGTGACGTACTGATAAGCAGAAAACAGAAGAGCAGGGATTGTACTCATAAACACTACAAGGGGACTAAAATTAGTGGCCTAATTTATCATTGTTTCTTCCAGAGAAGTTTCTGAAACTTTTCATTTTACCTCTCTAAGGAGGCTTTAAAAAAATTTTTTTTCCCTTTGATTTTAGAGAGAGAGGAAGGGAGAGGGGGAGAGAGATGGAAACATCGATTAGCACCTCCTGCATGCCCCCCACTGGGGATTTGGTCCACAACCTGGGCATGTGCCCTGACCAGGAATCAAACCAGCAACGTCGGTGCATGCATGGGTCGACACTCAACCATTGAGCCACACCAGCTGAAGGAGGCTTTTTTAAAGCATTTTTTCCTAATCAGCCCCTGCCATGAAATTTCAGTGCCACAAATATATTGTATATCTATCTGTTCATGCACTGTGGTCCTTTGGAAGACCACAAACCACCATAATGTCAATAAATGTTTCTGACTTCCCCCTAAAAAAACAATTTCTACCCCCTAGGGGATAATATTCCCTCACTAAAA